TCTTAAGTGTCATTGGCATTGCTATGCGTCGGCTTAATATGAAAAGTGCATAAGTCCAAATTTTTAGATTTTGCGATTTTGGCGGAATCTGGTTCACTGTGGCTAAAGCTACAGAAATATATTCTTAGTTTACGAAAATTGTCACTAGATTTCGCTAAAAACACCACTATGAAATCTGCATAAGTCCCATAACTTTGACATGTATATGAATATTGCATAAGTCCTGATTATTAACATGGCGTCAAATGCGGCATTGTGAATTATGTGCGTAGTTCGGTCAAAAAATCATTCTATATAGCGATGGGTGTGTTGCTCAGAATCAAAACTGTATCATGGCCAGCCAATGCTTTACTTAACCTTGCTGTAACTGCAAAAGTTTGTATTTTACAAAAATATTTAGAGAAGGGTCACACCCAAAATGATTGTGAATCCATGCATTCCACAATTGAGCGTATGTTAAAAGGTAGAAATTTCAATGCGCCTGCTCACTATATTAGTGTTTGCAGATCTGTCCGAAAAAATTCCTTAACCGTACAATGTCAGATATATACAACATACTTATTTAAAAAAAAAATCTGATATAAAACTAATAAAATCTATTTGTCCAGGCGATCCAACAGTAACTGACATAAGAGCACTAAAGTATAATTTAGAACAGCTGTACTCAACTTTTTTTCTTTCGGGCCACATAAATTTGTTTGTTATGCTACACGAGCCGCAATGTTTTTAGGTGATAACTAGAGTTGCCACCTTTTTGAAATGTAAATAAAGGACAATGGGTGACGATTTAAATATTTTCTAAAAAAGGTCCTCATGTTGTCTTGAAAAGTCGCAAGGACAATTTGTTTCAAAAAAGGACCGGAGGTCACCATTTAAAATAAATTAGTTGGGATTTTTATTACATAAAACAAAACAAAAATTTAAAACAATACAAATATTAGCATGATAGCATGATATTTATCGCTTAATGTTAATGTTTTCGCGCATTTCGCTCAAAATTTTAAAAACAAAAAGCAATAGTTTGTGACGAAGGCACTAAATTTTGCTCTCAATTAATTTAAAAATGTATATTTCAATTAATTCCCGCCTGAGGACTTGTAGAAGATCCTCCATATTTTTGTTTCCTAGGAATTACCGTTTTTCAACAATTGCGAGTACCCTCGTAGGTTAAAATATTCCTATATTTGCCGAAATCCGAATGGGCATTTTTAGAGTCGATTTCGTATAAATTATCTACTTTTATTTGTCAAGGTACTAGAAGGACATTTTTTTATTTTTAAATTGTAAACAGTCAGTTGTAGTAGTGGTATCCCCCACTCAGGTTTACCGAAAAGCATAAATTCAATCACATCTGGGAATTATGCTCTCTTGATTGCCGGCCGCCGTAAGCTCTTCCTCTTGATTGCCGACAGCCGAAAACTATTCGCTCTTCTATAGTGCCTAGTGAAATACTCCGTGAGTGCCGTGATTTCGAATGATCATTGAATAACCCCGTTTATCTTCTAAGGTAGGAACCGTTTATGATTTTTTTTTTATTGACTTTTATATAATTAGTTGGGACACCCGTGCGACAAGTGAAAAATTTTGATTCATATCCAGGATATTTCATTTCATCCCTCAGTGGGAAACCGTTGGCAATTTTTATTTGAGGCTGGACATAGGCTAGACTCTGAGTGCTCTCATTATCAACGACTATATCCAATTTCTCTTAAAAACCGCCTAGTTAACATCGAAGTGAGAGGTTCAACCTGTTTTCAATTTTTTTTTATTATTTTATTTTTTTTTTTTTTTTCAGAGGTTCGATCCGTTACCGGGTTAGAGTGCTCTCTCTCCTGATGATATTATCTAATTTCCCAAAAAGACGTTTAAATTAATTTCCGCACCTCACTTCATGTAAAATTTCTTTTCTTTTATTTTTTTTATTCAGCTGTATTTGAATCATTCCGTTCCCCGTCCACAATTAGTTATTAAACGAAGCCAGACGACTTCTGCATTAAATTCACACACGCTCTCGATCGACTCTGGGCAAATTTCAAAATATTATTTTCTACGATCGTCGCCTCCGCCGTCCAAAACACCGTATAAATACCCATGTTTCTCACTCGACGAAAATTTCCGCGTCCCATCGCTCGAGGTTAAGATACAGGGACGTTCCGAAAACTTTGATTTAATTTCTTTGCTTACATTTGATTACCGTCATATTTAAATAGTTTTCATTTGTAATAATTTATTTTTTATAAATTTTCCGGATATAGGGATCCATCAATATTTAAATAGTTTTTAATTTTAATAATTTATTTTTAATAAATTTTCCGAATACGGGGATCCATCAATATTTAATTAGTTTTCAAGTGTTATAATTTATTTTTAATAAATTTTCCGAATACAGGAAGGCTTTCATATTTAATTACCGTTGTATTTTTTTTTTGTAAATATATATTTTATTACCTAATCCTGTTTCTCTTACTGCTGGTTCTTGACCGTTCTCTTTCAGGGTACCGTAGGGTACGAGATGTAAAGGAGATAAGTGTTTTATTTTTATTTATTCTAGTATAGTGGCTACCTAGCAGTGACCGCCTGGAATTATTTACCTCCACTGAGTTCACCTTGAATACACTCTGGTGTACCACAGGGTCGCAGAGCAAACTGCGATAGCAAAACTGGCGCCTGAGCAACCCCTATTTGGGAATCACCTTCATAGCGCCACACAGACTCGCTGATTCACTGTAGGTGAACCAGAAGCCTGTCACAAGTTTTAAAAAGCACCTTCCTAATAATAGTGTTTAGGGCTGGTAAGGCCACATGTAGCCCGCGGGCCGCAGGTTGAGTATGGCTGATTTAGAAGGTACCATTGACTACAAAATACGGCATACAGATACTTTTAGAGAATTGCCAATGAGGTTAAGCAATAAGCCAACGTATTTTCCTCTGGATGCTTTACCTAACTTGTATCAGAGCCAACTAAAAATAAAGAAAGAAAAGGACGAACATCTAATGTTATTGAAAAAAACAATGGAGAGCAACTATCACCACTTTTATGATAATTTGATACACGATTAAAAGAATTACTTAGTTTTAAAAATATACTACTTACACAATTTAGTTAAGTACCGACTAATATTATTGTTACAAGTTTTGTGGAAAATAGTATATTTAAAACAAGGCTATTTTATTTTGTTTGAATTTTGTACAAGTCCAAATTGAGTTTAAATTAGAGAATGAATATTGCATAAGTCCATTATTTATAAATTACGTGCAGTATAATCATCCAGATAACGTGATCCCCTTCTAATACGAACAATATAACCTACTAGTAATTTTTATTTAACTATAAATTTTAAATAAGCCTTAAACTCGTTTTTTGTCTCTCCTGTAAAATTGTTAATTTCGTACTTATACAATTTTCATATTAAGCCGACGTATAGTTATATTACCCTCATATTGTGTGTAGGCTTTGTTACTGTCTCCCTGTTCCACTATGGGGACAGCACTGTTAATTAGAAGCCAACAGTGAATGCTCGAGTGGGGAATTACCGTCAGGCTATGCAATTTAATTTTTAGTTTCAGGAAAATTAGAAAGAAACTTGGCACCCGATTGAATCTGAACATGGATCGCCCGGATCCAAAATCTCAAGCTCTACCCACTGCGTTACCCCACCCCGCTTCTTGTAATTTTGTAAAAATATTGTCATAGATTTTCTAATGGTGTTTGGGTACTTCTTGTTTAAGTACTTGTTTAGGTACTTGTTAGGTGCGTACAAGATAGGTTTTCTAATAATGTTTAAGAGCAAAAATCTACATAGTTGTTTTAAAAATGTACGTGTGAATTTTTTGTTTTAATTAATAAATGATTAATGTTTAAGTTCTGTTGTTTTTTGTCTCTGTAGCTAAGGTATAGCATTACATTACACGATGCAGGCTTTTTTAAAGAACTTTTAAACTGATGGAGCTTTTCTGTACTGACCACTTGCAGACCAACACCATTAGACACCAATATCCGAAACTTAAAAACCGAAAAGAGTGCAGTTACAGGTGATTGAATAGAAACAAAATCGCAAAACTAAACCTTTTTGTTGGCTGATTTTTACTGACATCCATCTTTAATCCTTTACCTTTATCACCTGATTGCGCCCGAGATGTTCAAAACCTCGCCTAGTTTAAAACGCTTCTATAACACTCGACATTATCTTTCTTTCTCTCTGTATTTTCGAGATAAGTACATCACACAGTCTGCTACACTAACTAGGTACTCGTATTTCCATAGTAAAGTGGTCTTATTTACATTACCGCTACCATCTATGTATTACGTCTATGAAGACTAGAGAGAAGGAGGCGAATCGGCAATGGTCAAATTTCACATTTTCGTCCTTCTTTTTATAAAGTTCGCCAAATTGACTGTAGTTGGCATGTCGAATAACAGCCGTGTCAATTTTCTATGTAAGTAAAATGAAGTGATTTTATTAAAAATTGGTGAAAAGAATCAAAATAATGTGAAAAAAAGAACCTGAGTACAAGTAGCATGAGTGAAAAAACATCAAAGCAGAATTTACGTCGTTCCAGATTGTAAAACTGGATACAAATCAAATGTAAAACTAAATAAAACACAAGGAGAAATCAATTCAATGTCTTTTTAAAGCTTCTAATGTAAGTAAAATAATGTATTTATGTCTAAATATAATATTTATTGTAAACTAGTCACAATATGTATCTTACAGAGTGTAGTTTATTTTAGTACAAGTTACTATAATATAAAATTTTACAGTCATTGATCCTGACTTACAAACAACAATAATTATACATTAAATTTAACTTACTAGAAAAGAAAATTTATTTTTTATAGTTTTAATGACCGGGAGCATGGGACCCAAAAAAGCATACCCTTCTTTAAAAGAAATCTTTTTAATTATTTCTGTATGTAAACTACAAAACTTACTATTATAATTTTCTTAATTTAAAATTTCAGTAGTTCATAAATAACAAAAAATTCTATATTTTTTAAATCAAAGACAATAAAAAAAATTACTTACCTTGTTAAATTTGTTGAATTTCGTGACAAAACACGAAAACAGAACCGTGTTAAAATGCTTGCTGTTCTTGAGGTTATTTACTGAATCATTAAATACTGTATAATGAAGGTTTTCTGATGGAGATGAGAGGTAATTGCCCTCCCATTTGCGTTTCAGTCCAAAATCGTAACGTTTGTTCATCAGTATGCTGGCGGCAGTTATTTTTAACTTCATTTGTGGCCAATCATGTTTGGGTATGCGGCTTAAAATTTGTTGAGCTCTCCATCTTAAAAAAAAAATAGTAGTTTTTTGAATAAGGCTGAGTAGGTTATTACCCATTATTCAACGAAATCATTTATATCTTAGCAGAAAAGTTGACAACAAAGATAAAAAAAAAATCGTGCAACCCAGTCTTTATAGTCCAAGAGCCAACCGTCGAATTATTTAAGTCAATAAGTACAAGACATATTTGTGAATTTTTGATGATAGAAATGCATATTTCCAATTTTTACCCCTTTGGATAAATGATTATGATTTAGGGCTCGTAGATCGTCAAATTAAGGCTTAGCACCTTCTTTATTAAACTGATTTCAGTTTCACTTGCTTTTAAAACTAGAAGGCAGATTAAAGTAATTGCAAATGGCTTAGTGCAAAGTATAAGCCGCATTTCTGCTAGTGACATTTACTCAATACAAATAGAGATAACATTTTGTTTGTGTAGGGTGCTCTGTGTGCTAACACACTTGCAAAGATCTCATCTACCTTTGTTTTATAAAAGTAAAATTTTTATTTTTATTTAATCAGTTTAAAACAATATGTACCAAAGACCATAGTAACTCATTTTTGAGTTACCATTATCCAGGGGATATATTTACCAAAAGCTTTGACCTGAAAAAGTATAGTACGTCTAAACGAAGAGGTTGGGCAACCAGAAATATACCATAAAATATAGTAAGTCATTTTAGGCTATAAAATACTACGAACACTATATTATCTTATATTTTCTTCGTTGCACGAGTCGATATAGTCAATCAAAGTTAAAGAACATCTAGCAATAAATGCATTTCTATTATCAAATATTTACTACAAATACATTTTTTATAATCTATGAGGTAATTTATTCGAAGCTTGCCTCTATTGATATAATAATTTATACATATAATATAGGTACATCCCGAAAATCAAAATAAAGTGAAAAGAAAAAGAAAAATAATCTAGATCAGCGGTTCCCAAACTTTTTTATTTCGCTCCTCTTTTTTATCTTGAATAAAGCTGCGACCTCTGGCTAATATTATAATATAAACGAGAATAATCCAAAACGCATTTGTTTTAGTACAAAAAAATATTATTTTCTGAAAAAATGTAGGAAGTTACAGAGTAAAAATAGTAAAGTTATCTGCACCTAATTTCAACAATTTATTTTCAAAATTTACTAACAAATTACCAAATTAATACCACGATATATGTCTCAAATATTCCGGATTGAAAATACGTGACTATAATCATAGACGGATGAGTCGATGTCAAATACTAGTGACATTATAACTGTGGTACATAAGAGGGTGTAGTTCAAACGCTGAAAAAACATGGGTATAGTATATATGGAGAGATTTTTAATTGAAGGCAAACGTAAAGCTTAAGGAAAACGAAGCTTAATCAGAAATGTCCAGTATCTGTACTCCTATTGTAAAATAAAAAACACGATAATATGATCGAGTGTCGAATTTACTCAGGGTTAGTACCTACTAGAATGTCACTAAGCCTTGGCCGAAGTATCCATCAACAATGTGGTCACCTTAAGATGGATCAAAGGTCACGCCACATCGAAAGGTAACCGTCTTGCTGATTCACTAGCCAAGAAAGCAACCAACCAAATACTTTTTGGACCTGGCCCTTCTATTGGCCTGACAAAATCGGTAGTGACAGACCTAATTAAAGAACATTTCCTTGTGAAATTCCAGGAAAGATGGGATGAAACAAGAAACTGCAGAGTTGACAGGGAGCTCTTAATTTATCCTGACAACACTGCAGCAAACAAATACTTGACTATGACTAGACAGAATCTGCGCCTAGTCACAGGCATTCTGACTGGTCATTGCCAAGTACGGAAGCATATCCATATTATGGGGCTGTCAGAATCCGCATTCTGCAGAGGGTGCGAACAAGAAGGTGAGACCATCGAGCATATCCTTTACGATTGCTTGACGCTTTCATTTATTAGAAAATTTGTGTTTGGCGAGTATCGGCTAACACCGGCCGATATAAGAAAAGCACCTCTTAGCGACGTTGTCAACTACATTAAATCTGTAGGCTGGCTCACGAGCTAGGAGGTGCCTACCATCAGGATGATGCACAATGAGGCCTAAGTGCCGTGAGCATAACCCACCATTCACACGTTACAGATACAGATGAGCGAATGTGCTTAAATTTCGGTTTTACAAGCATTGAAATGGGAGGTGAAGAAAAACCTCAATGTGTTATTTGCCTCAAATTTTCGAATGCAAGATAGTATGATACCCAATAAGCCGAGAAGACATTTACAAATTCTGCACAAAGCCCTCTCATAGTAAATGGAAAAGCTTTACTGTTATTATACAAAATGGATAATAAAACAGCCAAATGCAAGAAAATACATACTATTGCAATGCAACTAATTTTACCAGCTGCCATAGATATGACAGAAACAATGTTTGGTGACAGCTATGCTAAACAACTCAAAAATATTAATCTGTAACGATACTATTTGTTAAAGAATTAACGATATATCTTTCAATGTTTACCAATAGCTTGAACCTAAGTTAGTTGAAAAATTATTTTCATTTGACAGCAGTAACGACTCTCATATGATTTGCTATATATCAGCGAGCTGCAATAGTTGAAGACTTGCTCTTTTGCAAACCTATACCAGGAAGGACATTAAAAACTTAAAATAGCCCATATCAAAGTTGGCTACAGATGTAATATGAACGCATCTTAAATATAGGAACGCAGCTCATAGCTGCTTATAGTATGAGAGCCCACTGCAAATTTCAACCGTCATCTGGTAACGAAATAAAATATGCTCCAAAGGCATGTAACAACATTGTACTTTACCAAATTGCACCTGTGCCAATCCCTATCCTGAGCAAAGTGGTTAAAAAAAATTATTTTATATTCAAAAAATCACATAAAACATGACAGCGACAATTATGTTTTCCCTGAAAATTACAATGCTAATTCATTGTGAACCTAGCTTTTAAACCTGAATTATTAATACTTTTACCTATCTTTTAAACCATGTTTATGTATGAAAGTAAGAAGGATGGCATTGTATAAACCATTTGCAGAGATAGTCAATAATAATTATAAACTCTTGCAAGACAATTATTTTAAACCATAATCAGTAGTAGTTTTTTGTCGTTTCTATGGCAACCTGTAAAAATGAATCACAACAATAGGCATACAAATAAATTTTTAAATCAGCAAACATTGATTCATATTTTTAATGATATTTACCTACTAATCGTAAATAGATGTTTTTGTGCGATGTTAAGAGGAAGAAAATGTTTCCCTTTAAGGATATATATCAAGATATGTTTGAATGTTATTTTCTGGAAAATTTTAAGGCCAAACAAAATTAGCGCTGTCATGCCTTATGTGATTTTTTTGATATAAAATAATTTTTTTAAGCCACTTTGCTCAGGATTGCGATTGGCACAGGTGCCATTTGGTAAAGTACAATGTTTTTCCATGCTTTTGGGGTATATTTCATTTCATTATCAGATGACGGTAAAAATTTGCAGTGGGCTCTTGGGCTATTATAGGTTAGGATAGATGGCGCAACGATTGTCATTGTCAATTAAGATGAAGGTGGTTGACATCACATAATTGTGAACAAGTTTTACACGTTAATAAAGGTCTTAATAAAATAGCTACGACTTGTGTATTAATATCAACACCTAAGTATTACAACAGACATTAGTTTTCTATCAAATTCGTATCTAAAAAAAATATAGGAACCATTTAAAAAAAAAATATCGAATTTAACAGGTAATTAATGCAGTACGTGCATAGCCAACTTTAATATAGTGTATTTTAAGTATTTAAAAAGCAGAGGTAAATGCCTTACGTTTTTTTTTTTTAATAGAACTTTATGGAACACACTGTAGAATGAGTTGAACTTATGATAGCAAATTTTTCGTAACAAAAATCTAATATTTTAATGACTTGTGCATCATTTATTCATTGGACTACGTTCACCTTCGGCACATACCTCCACTCCCGGAGGTTGCGCCCCTCTGTTTGAGAAATGCTGATCTAGTAATCATCCAAGTTACTTCCACAAGTATTAAAGCAAAAAAAAAATTATATATTATTGTGCAATATGATTAAGTAAATAATTGAAGGATGCATAGATCTCTTAGTCAAAAATTTTTTTTAATAATCAATATCTACCCTTTATGGAACCAAAAGTATCCTTTTTTTTTTTAATAGAGAAAAATGTTACTTAAAAACTTGAGAATCAATATTTATTACCAAATGTGAAATCACACCAAGCTACAAAAATGTAGAAGCAAGAGAATATGAAATTTATTTAAGCCCATGTAATAGTTTTTAGTAAATATAATTCATTTATTTTAATATTATGTCCTTTTCTAAAGAGCTTTAAAAAAGTTACAATTTCGAGTTTTCTTGGGGCATCATTATGATTTTATCCTGTATTAGGATCGAATAATGATTAATAAAGGCAGACACAAAATTACTTGCTACTTTATTTTAAATAATTAGAATATTTTGTTTCAAACTTTTTGAAAAGCAAAAAAATGAATTACAATATTTTATTATTAAACTCTGTAAATATATTTGCTAATATTTTCGTACATTTTCATTATTTTAATTATTTAAAATAAATTAATAAGTGTTTTTGTAATTGTTTGCTATTATTTAAAAATTAGACTTTTTATTGAAGATCTATGCATTTTTCAATTTTGAATCTGCATCGTATTTCACCCAGAACATATTCGTTAAGTGTAAGAATTAGTAACGTAGAAAATTAGTAGAAAGAGATGAACAGTTACACATTGAAGAGAAGACTATAAAAATAGCCTATACGAGCGCTGTCTTTTAAGTTTTGCATACCGTGCATTAGAGGGCGTTACGAATCAAACGGCTCTAATAAAAAACTGTCGCCTTTAGTTAACCTCTCTTCCAAGTTTCAGTCCGATTCATAGAGTGTTGTAGTTACACCGAATTTTCAAAGTTAACAAGTTATTCAAGAAATGGATTTAAACCGAGAACATTTTCATGCCACAATTTTTTACAACTTTCGAAGACAATTATCTCAAAAAGAATGCCTCACCGAGTTGGTTTCTGTTTTCGGTAGTGATGCACCACATCAATCCACAATTTCTCGTTGATATGGAGAATTTACACGAGGACGGGTTAATCTTAGGGACGAGCCCAGAACAGGTGCACCTAAATCGGTAGTCACCCAGGAAAACATTAATGCTGTGCGCAGGCTCATCGAGGAAGATCGGCATGTGACATATCGCAAGATTGAAGCATCGTTAGGGATTTCAAGGACCTCAATCGAAAAGATTTTGCATGAAGAATTGGGAGTAAAAAAATTAGTGTCCCGTTGGATACCGCATCTGTTGATCGAAAACAAAAAGAAGCTAGGGTAAATTGGTGTCAAAAAACTTTGGAGCGCTTTAACGCTGGAAACTCTAAAACCGTGTACTGCATCGAAAATGGTGATGAATCATGGATTTACTGATATGAACTTGAAAATAAACGCCAATTGTCTGTTTGGGTTTTTCAAGGTGAAGACAAGCCGACAAAAGTGATCCGTTCTCGAAGTGTGTCTAAAAAGATGGTCGCAACATTTGTCTCCAAAGCAGGTCATGTTGCAACAATTCTTCTGCAAGAGCAAAGAACTGTTACTGCCGATTGATATAAAATATAACGATTTGTTTGCCAGCAGTCATCGCTAAGCTTCGGGAAACCAACCCCAAACGACGAATCATCCTCCATCAAGACAATGCAAGTGCGCACACAGCACGTAAAACAATTGCATTCTTAAAGCAACAAAACGTCGAGTTGTTAGACCACCCTTTTTACAGTTTCGACCTAAGTCCCAACGATTTTTTTACCTTTCCGAAAATCAAGAACGCACTTCGTGGGAAACGGTTCCAGTCACCAGAAGATGCAGTTGAGGCATTCAAAACAGCCATTGGAGCTGTGACACTCCAGGAGTGGAATAACTGCTTTCAGAGCTGGTTTGAGCGCATGCAAAAGTGCATTAATCTTCGTGGAGAATACTTTGAAAAACAATAAAATGTTTAAACACTATCTGCTGTTTTATTCTAGGTCTATGTGCAAAACTTAAAAGACAGCCCTCGTATTAAAGAAAACAGAACGAACGAAAACTATCTGAAAAATATGTTAGATACTAATAAAATATGGAGAAAATTATTAAAGAGACATAATAAAAGAAATCTAAATGTAGAGTTCCCGGAATTAGAAAAACCATAAAAAATAAATAATTGCTATAAAGAACCAAAAAATTAATAATGAACACCCATTTAACGCTTACCTGGTCTATTTTTTGAAACATTTTTAATTTATAACTTTAAAATATTCAATTCTTCATCACACAATATTCTAAAAAGTGTCAGTAACATGTCTGCTACCAGAGTTTGGTTAAGCAATTGGATTATGTATCTCAAATTAACGGTAAATTGGAAAGAAAGATAAATAAACATTAAAACATACCTGTTGTAAACATTCCTCAAAATCTTCGTCACACTTCTCATACTTAAAGGCGGAGCGGGCCAAAGAATGCTCTTACCGAAATCTTTCATGGATTTAGCTCTTCTAAATTTGAATTCCAATTCGTTTATATACTGTCTGATTTTCTTCCTACGATAAACTTTAATCATAGTCATCAAGGCTTTCATTCTCTTGTATTGCTGGCGCACAACGTACCCTCTCCAAGTTTTTTGGATCAAAGTAACGATTCCGGGCAACAGCTGGTTCCTGGCTCGTTCCAAAGCAAACAAGGTTTGCGGTGTGCGAATGAATATTTTCGTTTTACCATATTTCACGTCATTGGTGAATTTGTATTCGTCTATGATGACTTTGCAAGCGTCTTTATCGGATCCGGACCTGAAGTTTGGCCAAGTAAATTGCGAGATCATCTTGTACCTAAAAGAAAAATTAATTCATTTTAAAAACACTAGTAAGCAATAAGAAATAATACTTTTGTGTAGAAAAAAAAATATTACAACGAATTGAGAACCTACTCCTTTTTTGAAGTCGATTAAAAAGAACAAAGTTTGCGTAAGATCATCGTGTATAAGTGTGAGATTTTGGATATATGGTCAAGTTTGACATATGCTAAGCTTCATAGTTAAGTTGGATATTTTATAGATACTAATAAAAGCTTATTTGAGGGAATACTCTCATTTTATTTCAATGGCGCAGTCAAGTGAAAACATGATACGTATTGACTATGAAGAGACCGCAGGTGAAAAAGAAAAAGACCAAAACATAATTTTTGGAAGAAATGAACTAGACAAAATGATGTCAAAATGGCTGTCAATAAAAACTAGACCAGAGATTGTGAGAATCCAACACCTTGGATGAACTCATATGAGTTCGCATGTCTCTCAAATGATTGGAATTCAACAGCGAAGATCTTCCACCTAAGAGGTCAGCTGACAGGCATAACATTCAATTGGTATGAAGAGAAGGTTCAGATTACGACAATAAATGAATTTCAGTAGGATGAATGGAAGAAGGAGTTCATAGAAATGTTTGATGAACTTTACATCGTTAAATGGGAAAAGACGCTGACATTAAAATATCATAACGGAAACCTAATAGAATATTTTTTCGGGAAGCAAATGTTACTAAAAAGGGCAGATACAATATCCGAAAATTTTTTGATTATGTTAGTTATTTTGGGACTTCCTGTAAACATACAGTGGTAAAGAAATTAATTCGAAACAGTAGTTATTACAAAATTTGAAATTTTTAAAAATTGATAAATTCTGCAGTAATCCAAAATCTAAGTAATCAGGAATACGCGTTTCCAAAAAATAGCCAACATTTTCAAAAGAATCAAACTTTGAAGCCAGTAAAGAGACAAGAATAGAAGAACAGAAGATTGGGTACAAGGAAGAGGTTTAAAAGACAATTTTTCTAGCAATTCCTATAAAGACATAGTTCATAATGATGTAGAGGAGATGGAAATACAGTATTTTGAAAATTATAAAATTATTCGAATTTTTCTTATAATTTCAATAGAAAATAATGAAAATGTGACTTACATTTACAGTTTTTACCAATATGCCAAATATCTCAAGACCATTGTATTTGCCTACATGAAAGACAAAACAATAACTCCATCGGCCAGCAATTTCTGGGGGGCTATTTTCAAATTCGAGAGAAAGTGATTTCTCTCAAGATTTTCATGAGAAATGTCATACGTCATCGTAAAAACAGATTTTTAAAGCCAGTGAAAACTCGCAGACTATTTCTTTTGGTTTATTTCGAGCGGATTAAAATTGTCCTAAGAATTTGAATTCTCATTGACTTTAAAAATACTGTTTTCATGTTGACATATGCCATTTCACATGAAAAACTTGAAAGAAATGAATATATTGAAGTTTGAAAATAATTGCGTAACTTACAAAAATTATTAGTAGGTCATGTTGAAGTTTTCGTGGAAAGTGTATTCCTCTAGAAAGGCTTCGAATTTTAAAATGTCATCTTCGTCAAATCAACGAATCGTCAAGAGACTATAGAGCTCTTGGCTTATTAGAGAGTTACGATAGTGTGCTAGACGTTACTAAGCATGATCAAATTATTTACTAAATCCCACGCCATTGGGATTTATAAAATATATTGTTATACATATATTTAAAGTGGCCATATTTTGAAAAGTAGAAAGTGGGACAAATCGAAAACAAGGATATATTTCTACAAATTCTCTTTGCAGTAGTGACGGTTTGGTTCATTTAAGAGCAAAAAAATATATATAATAGAGTGGGATGGCATGTCATCATAAAAATTGAAATATTTATATTTTTTTCGTTAGACAAAAGCAGGATACATGTTAAATCGGGACTAGTGGTTTAAAATCGGGACAAATATTTTCGTTTATTGACAAAAAAAAAAAGCCTAGAGTATATTCCTGTATGCTCTATGGATGTTAAACATTTGTCTTTAATGTGAACAAATAATAAAAAGGAGCTATTTAAATTATTTATACTAGTATTAGTGAATGATATAAAACTAAAAGCTTTATTAGACACGGGTTCAGAAGTTGATAAAATCAATGAATAAGTAGTTGAAAGATATGATTTTCCAAAGTTAAAGAAAAATATCAATATTAGAAGTCTAACGGGCATAACAAGATGCTATTATGATCAAATTAATTATAAATAGGAACGAATGTTGAAAATATGTTAATCGATATGATAATAGGGCAAAAAACGCTAAATTATTTGGATGTATTCCTAAAAAATTCTAAATGTCTTATATCTGAAGATAGTATAGGAAAATCATTCCCTAATGTACAATTATAGTAATCCAAGTAATTATTGTACAAATTTCGACTTGAAAGAATGTGCAAAAAATTGTAAGATTAAAACCGTATAGACATTCTTTAGAAGAAAAAATCTGGATAAGAGAAAAAATTAAAAAATTAATTGAAAGAGACATTATTACAAAATTTGACTCTCCGTATACCTCACCTTGCGTACTTTAAATGAAAACTGCAGATTATAGAAAAATTAATGAAGAAACACATCTAGATCCTTATCCGTTTCCCATGATTGATGATATTATCGAAATTTTTGGCCGTTGTAAATATTTTTCAAAAATAGATTTACAAGAAAGATTTTGGAACGTAATGCTATCAAAAAATACAAGAAAATACACAGCTTTTGTAACTGAAGAAGGACATTTTGAATTTAAAAGATTGCCTTTGGGTTGGAAGAATTCAAGCCCTAGATTCCAGAGTATGATACAAGAAGTTTTGGGAGAATTATTGGGGAAAAAAGTGTTGGCGTACATCGACGATATCATTTGTGGAGGATCAGATTTAAACGAATGTCAGAAAAACACTCTCAGAATTTTAAAGAAATAGAATGACAACAATTTTAAAATAAATTTGGAAAAGTGTATATTTTGTTTATAGGACATTCACTGGAATGTACACCCATATCGGATTAAGAAACAGATGCACGACTGAGCCGGTCTACAGGATAATTTCGCATCAGGTAGTTAAGTAAAATAAGCGTAGTCTTCCGGTGGATAGATGGTGAATATATTTTAATTATTAAATACTTATATAGTATGTAATTATGTTTATTAAAATTAAATTACTAAAGTAATACACGAAAAAATGAAAATATTTATAATTTTGTTTTGGACATTGTTATGTTATGTTATTTTTAATCATCGTACTTACTTAATCGCAGGGTAAAACTGTGTATGTAAATTAAAATTTTTGATCTGAATAAACTATTATTAAACAACAAAATCATGTAACTATACCTTTTAAGCTTTCTGAGGCAAAATTAAATACCTAAAATTTACAATATACAAAATAACGCCACCCATGAGTAAATGTTTAAAATACAACTGACCAGTCAAATCTTTCATTTATTTCTTAATCCGATATGGGTGTAAATTCAGTGAATGACCTATAAGAAAAGTTATATTTTTAGGAAGAGAAATAGATGGTAAAATAAAAAGAATGAAAAAAGAAACTGTAGAAAAGGTGCAAGATATGAAAAGACCAACTGACCTAAAATCTTTACAATGTTTCACTGGTCTTACTAATAATTTTAGAAGTTTCATTAAGGATTATAGTAAGATTGCCAAACCTTTAGAAGAACTGAAATCAAAAAATAAAAAAAATATTTGGAGTGAAAAATGTGGAGAGGCAATCACTTCAGAACCGATTCTTCGATTACCAGATCCAAAATTAAAATATGAACTAGCCACAGATGCATCATACTATTGGACGTGGGGCTATTCTTTATCAAAGATTTGAGAACGAAAATAAAAATAAACAACTCCGAGTTATAAGCTGCTATTCGTATACTTTTTCTAAAAGTGAATTAAACTATTCAGTTACAGAAAAAGAGTGCCTAGGAGTGGTTAAAGCTGTCAAACATTTTAGGATATATTTAGAAAATTGAGAGATCGTTTTGACATGAAGGTAAATCATAAGAGTGGCCAAGAACTAAAACATAGTGATGCGATTTTACGATTATGTATTGATATTCCGAATGAAACAAATAATATCTTTTGGTGTAAGTTAATAGTGGAAGATCTAAAGTCTGTTCAGATTTCATTTACGCCGCGTCAAAACAATTTCTCCTATCCAGCAACAGCTCACGTAACATTTATTTGCGCTTCTATTGGTTAATCGGTCGTTAGTCATTTAGACGATGCGTAAATATTTTTTGTCAGAGTCGAATTCAGTTCAATTTGGATAATTATAGACGGCGTTTTGGTAGCATTCACCGTGTTGGTTAGTTTGGACATTTTGTATGTTTGATTGATTATAATTTATTATATTATAGTTTAGATATACATATATTGTTATTTATTTTTTTGTTTTTGTGGTTGTTGTTACATTTGGTCATCGGTACTAAAGAAATGGTTCTTAATATTTATAAGCATTAAATTTTATAGAACCCTGATATGTTGGTACATGATGTTGAAAGGAGAGTTGCTGATAAAACAGGGATGTGCACTAAAACCGTTTTTAATGTTAGGCAGATTCATAAATTTTCTGAACCAAAAAGAAACCTACGTTATAAACAAATTAGTTGCTCTGTGGATGATTTTGATAAAAATGCAATAAGGCGCAAAGTACATCAATTCTTCTTTAGAAATTAACTTCCAACAATTGATAAGGTTTTATAAGAAGTCAACGATGATCCATATTTGTCTACTTTTAAGCAAGCTACATTTTACAAGCTTTTCAAAACCCTTAATTATAAATTTAAATCTCGAGGAAAAAATAGTTTGCTTTTAGACAAAAATGAAATTGTTTCGTCCTACGCCACAAAAAATAAAACGGTACAGAGAAGAAAAGCAAAAAATATATTATCTTGATGAGACTTGGATTAACGCAGGCCACACCAAATCTAAAGTATGTTTCGATATGTCGGTTTTTTCATCCAGACAAGC